TCGACAAGACTATTCCTCCGCAACCGGCGTTCAAGTACCAAGCACCAATCGAGAACCCGGAGCTAATCCAGAAAGTAATTAAGCGAACCTTGGGTTCGCAGGTCACTATTAGCAACGAGGAATTGTGCGCCATATCGCCGGAAATTCGCAGATTCTACAAGGAGAACACCGTTACCCGGCGTCTTCCCACGGTTGAATCTGGAATGTTTGAGGAAAAAGAAGCTCTAACGCTCTCCTACTCCCAAGGAAGGACCTTTAACACGTTCCTTCTGACGGCGTCTCCGATAGACTCGCTCAGGGTGATCGATATGCTGGTTAACGACTCGCATAAAATCACCTGCACGCTCGACCAAGGATCCGAAATAGTGGCAATGAACCGGAACGTTTGGCAGACCCTAGGGGTATCTCTTTCACCCGAGAAAACCTTAACGATGGAATCTGCCGACTCGAACCAATCGGTGACAGCCGGGGTAGTGGAGAACCTTAAATTCACCCTCGGAGGAATCGATCTTCACCTCCAAGTTCATGTGGTCGACGGCGCGCCATTCAATATTCTGGTCGGCAGACCGTTCTTCCGATTCACCGAATGCCACACCAAGGACTACACGGATGGTTCACAAGAACTGACGCTGACTTGCCCGAACACGGGGAATATTCAGACCGTGGCTACCCGGATAAAACCGCCGAAATCGGTCAGCTTCACCGAACCCCTTGCGGAGACCTTGCCATTCGTCGTAAACGTCGAAGACGAGGACTACGACATGGTTTTTCCATGAGGGAGGGCAGTCTGATGCCGAGCTCTCCAAGAAATATCACGGTATCGACGAATTTTTGGCGGATTAGCGAAAAGAAGCGTTCCTGGACAGAAACTCCAGGAAGAGAAAACAAGATCCCAGAACTATCCTTCCATCGACTTACGGCTCCTATGCTCTTATACTCGCCAATAGGCACTAATACGATAGACTGCAAACAAATTTTCATTCACGATCAAACCATCCAGTGGGAGGTATCGCCCCAGTATTTGGGATATTGCCTCGCCCAGGTGTACTCTTACGACGAAAAGGCGCACGTTTTTATAAACGAAGTTGCGGATGGAGAAGAACAAAAAGAGAAGGGGAAGAAGAAAAAGAAACCCAAGAAAAAGTACAAGCCGATGGCCGACAGGGTCCACTCAGTATCGGCAACGCTGCCGGAGGAATTTCGTATTGTACGGCACTTCCCGTCTGATCCGTTGGAAGGGATGCCGGTGTTGAACCCTCGGCCCAGACCGTTTCAGGAAGGAGAAAGATATACGAAGCAAAGGGCGGAGGAGATGAACGTAAACCCCGACGGTTTCCTGTGGGAAGAAGAAGAAAAGTTGGTCCACGAAATAATACGAAACCACGAAATGGCTTTCGCTTGGGACGAAACGGAAAGAGGACACTTCCGGGAAGATTATTTTGAACCCGTCAAAATTCCGGTACTGGCGCATACGCCTTGGCAGGAACGGAATATCCCCATACCACCAGGGATACGGGACGAGGTCGTGGAAATAATACGCGGAAAGGTCAAAACTGGCGTCTACGAGCCTTCGAGCTCCTCGTACCGCTCCAATTGGTTCGTGGTGCCGAAATCGAACGGAGCCTTACGCCTGGTTCACAATCTCCAACCATTAAACGGGGTAGTCGTCAAAGACGCGGGCTGTCCACCCATCGTGGAAGTTTATGCCGAGTCCTTCGGAGGTTGCGCCATCTACGGAATGTTCGATCTATTCGTTGGATTCGATCACAGGATGTTGGACATAGCTTCCCGGGACTTCACGACGTTTCAAGGACCATTCGGGACTCTCAGGCTCACTCGCTTGCCCCAAGGATATACGAATTCAGTCCAAATTCAACAAGGAGATGTAAATTTTATCCTCCAGGACGAAATTCCCCATATCACGCAGCCCTTCGTGGATGACACTCCGGTCAAGGGACCGACGACATACTACCTGTTGGAAAATGGCGACTTCGAAACCATCCCAGAAAATAAAGGAATCCGACGGTTTGTGTGGGAACACCTCCTGAATATTAACCGAATTCTTCAGCGAATAAGGCATGCGGGAGGAACCTTCAATGCGAAAAAGTCATTCTTTGCTGTCCCCAGGATAAAAGTCGTTGGACATGTCTGCAGCATCGAAGGAAGGACACCGGACGAGTCGAAAGTCCAGAAGATCCGTGATTGGCCGCCCTGTGAGGACCTCACCGACGTCCGAGCATTCCTGGGAACGCTAGGGCTGATGAGGATCTTCATGGACAATTTTGCCGAAGTCGCCACGCCACTTACCAGACTATTACGAAAAGATGCCCCATTCATCTTCGCCGACGCCGAACAAATCGCGATGGATCGCCTAAAGCAGCTATTGATCAGTTCACCGGCTCTGCGGCAAATCGACTACGCCTGCGGCAGACGGGTGATTATGGCCGTAGACTCTTCATTCCGAGGAGCCGGCTATATTCTTTCGCAACTTGGCGCCGACGGTCTGGAATATCCTTCCAGGTTCGGATCGGTGACATGGAATGAACGGGAAGCCCGTTATTCACAAGCCAAGCTGGAACTCTATGGATTGTTCCGAGCATTGAAGGCTTACCGGTTATACATCGTGGGCGTGAAGGACCTCCTCGTTCGTGTCGACGCGAAATATATCAAAGGAATGCTCAATAATCCCGATATTCAACCAAACGCGGCGGTCAACCGCTGGATAGCGGCCATTCTTCTTTTCGACTTCGAACTAGAACATACCCCGGGAATAACTCATACACCGGACGGATTGTCCAGGAGGAAGGCAGCCGAAGAAGATCCGGAGCAGGAAGATGATGTCGACGAATGGATCGACCGGGCATGTGGATTCGCAATTCAAGTCATGAATTGGGGACGTAAGAGGAAATCTTCGATCATGGAGGTTATCCCCGCTCGCCAACTCCTCATAAACGGCAGACCTGCGATCGGAAAGGTACCTGGACAAATCTTCCGACCTTCTCCAGCACTCCAAACACAGCCACCGGTGCGAGTATATATGAAGCTCATCGACGACATCGAATTCGAGATCCCAAGGGACGAAAAAGCCATCGCTGCGGATGCCCAGCTAATCCAAATCGAGGCCTTCCTCAAACAACGCGAAAGGCCGGAAGAAATGTCCGACGACAACGATAAATTCGAACGATTCGTCAGAAAGGCCAGCAAATACTTCATCCTAGATGGAGGCCTTTGGCGACGCGACGAGCATCACGAGCACAAATTGGTCTTGCCCCCAGAGAAGCGAGCGTCAGTCCTTCGACAGGTTCACGACGATTTGGGACACAAAGGATTTTATATCACCCGGAAGCGCCTAATGGACAGGTTCTGGTGGCCGGTCATGGACAAAGACCTTAAATGGTTCTTGAAGACGTGCCACGAATGCCAGATCCGGTCAAAGCTCCGAATAAATATTCCTCCCATCGTCGCGATGCCCTTACCCCTCTTCCACAAATTCCACGGAGACACCATGATGTTACCTCGCACAAACGGATACCGATACCTCGCCCAGGGACGATGCTCGTTGAGCAGTTGGCCCGAATGGCGGATGTTGGAAAACGAGGACGCATATTCCCTGGGATGCTTCATCTTTGAGGAAGTTTTGTGCCGATGGGGCGCAGTCGAAGAAATCGTGACGGACAACGGAGCGGCTTGGATAAAAGCGGTGGATTGGCTCTCGAAGAAATACGGAATCAACCATATTCGCATTTCCGGATACAACTCAAGGGCCAACGGCATCGTGGAAAGACGACACTACAATGTACGGGAAGCAATCTCCAAGGCCTGTGAGGGCAATCTGGACTTGTGGACGGAACAGATTTTCTACATTTTCTGGGCGGAACGAGTTTCCATCCAGAAATCCACCGGATACTCCCCGTATTATCTTGCCCACGGCGTCGAACCACTATTCCCATTCGACATCGTTGAAGCCACCTACATGACCAAAATCTCCGGAGAGAAGCTCTCCACCGAAGAATTGATAGGAATGCGAGCTCTCCAGCTGATGAAACGTCCGGAAGAATTATCCGAACTACGGAGCAAGGTCTACGAGTCACGGGTGAAGAGCGCCAGGCAGTGGGAAAAGGACAACAAAAAGAAAATCAAGGACTTCGACTTTCCATTGGGGGCACTTGTGCTCTTGAGGAATTCCTCCGTCGAAAACGAGTGGTCGCGAAAAGCCAAGCCCCGATATTCGGGCCCCATGGTTGTTATCCAGCGAAAATCTGAGGGATCCTACGTGATAGCGGAAATGAACGGCGCAGTTTCCAAAATGCCGGTCGCAGCCTTTCAATTGATCCCATATTTCCCTCGATCACGGATTAGGATTTCCGTCACAAGCTTCATAGAGCCGAAAACGCCAAAGCCCAAGAAGGGAAAGGAGCCGCAATGGGGAGATAATGGCAGGAGGCAGTACGAGGGGCAGTCAGCAGTCCCAGAATAGAAGGGGGGTAGAAAAAGGATGAAGCAAGACACGGACTTCCAGAATCCATTATGCAAAAATTGTATTCTCGCCTCAAATCTCATTTCAATTCATCCACTTCCTCCACTCTCAACTCGTTTCCTTCCTCCCGAATCGTTCGAAAAACGCCTCCGAACCTCCTTCAGACACGAATTCCCCCCCCGGACATACTTTCCAGAAAGAAAACTGCGCATCTTACCTCCAGAAAAGGCACCTTAGAGTGTCTGGAAGAACTTTCCGGGAACGAGAAACGGCATTTCTAAGAAGACATTATCCCCTAGAACACGGAAGCAAGAGGTTTTTCTCGCCTTGGCTGAACCCCCGGGTACCAAAAACACGGAGACATGTGACCGCGAAAAATCTGTATCCGTCAGCATCATGCACCCGCAGGGAATCGAACCCTTGGCCTCCCCGAAACGAAGGCGTCTCCAAGGGTCACCTGGAGGGAGTGCGCACCCTGCGCCACGGGAGCTTCGTTGGAAAAGGAAAAACAGGAGCTGGAAAAGGGCCCCAGTTGGATTCGAACCAACACAGTCGTCGGAGAGGTCTTTGAACGCGTCCACCAAGTGACGATGCGCTACCAATACGCCATAGGACCGACAATAAGAAAAGCAGGGATCGAAAAGGCAAGTTATTTCAAGGCAGGGCCTTAGTTGGAGTCGAACCAACATCTTCGCCAATAAACGATCACCGAATGCCAGAGAATTCGGGGCGACGCGTTTCCAATACGCCATAGGGCCGACGATTTACCCAGTACGATCCAGGTGGGATGCCGGACGCGTGGAATTGGACTTCCCTCAAATCCATGATTTTCGGTGTCGCACGTGACCGCGACGCGACGCGTCAAAATGTGCTCGAAGGGCAAAATTGGACTTAGGATTGATTTTCTCACTCCGGTTCACGCGGTTACTACACAAGCAAACAGCAATGCATTCGGGGTTTATCAAGAAAAACAATCAAGTACTACGAGATATACGGTATTTAGCAAAAACTACCGAGGACGAGCATACGAGACAGCGACAAGCAAGAAATATGCCCAGTTGGGCAGCGACAGACACAGCAGCAACACGAATCAGACATGGGTACACCTCTGCTCGACCCAGCCAGGCTGGGGAGTTCAAGGGAAAGACAGATCGAAAATGTTCAAGCGACGAAGAAACCCCCCGGACGAAAGTTCCACGAAGCCCCAGGACCCCCTACGAATCAGTATCCATCGCGTCCGCCGAAGGAGGGACACCGCCGCCCCAGAAACCTCGCCGGAAGGAACTTCCGGGAGCTCGACGGAAGTATCATCGTTGAACAACTCGGCGGCGGCGGGAGCAGAGGATGGAGGAGGAGGTGCCGAACCACGCGAGGAATATGCGGGCACCGCAAGACGACCGCCGCCGAAGATATCCAGGGCACCGGAGAGCGACGAGAAGGAAGGGTCGGCGGACGGCGTGCGCGCGCGCGGGGTATGGATGCGGGAACCAGGAGGAGACGTCGGCGCGGTCAAAGGCATCGTATTTGCGGGGGGAGAAGATTCCCGAGTCGTTGGGTAGCCCGAAGTCGACGGAGGTGGCTCGGCAGGCGAAGTTGGCACCACACGCTCCCCACCGGAGTCGGCGCCGTCCATATCTTGGTCCTGAACAGCGACGATGACGGGCACGGACGTCTCGCGGTGGGGGCGACGCTTGGCCAAATTTCCTTGAAGTCGGAACATCAGAAAGGAACTAAGAAGCAAAACTACCGAGGACGTACCTGGAACTTCGTCTTCGGCTCGACGTTTTCCCTTCCCCTTCACATCGGCGGCGGTCTCCGTGGCCTCCTCGACAACATCCTCGTCGCCAATCCCAAGCCCACCAACGACCGGCTTAAATGCTTCCGCAAGCCCAGTAGGAAGGGCGGGAATCGGTTCCCCAGACGGAACGGATGAGGGCCCCTGTGCGATTAGGTCGTAGAAGGAGCGACGCGCGAGGGCGGCGGCGTCCATCCCGCGAGTGGCCTGGATCCAGCGGAAAAGGAGACTCAGGATCGATTCGGCGAGACCGCCGCCGGTGAGACGATGCTGGTCGCGAAGGGACTCAAGGATAACGAACAGGACCCAGTGCTCGTTAAAGAGAGCCAGGATCCGGTCTGGGAAACAAAAAGACACAATCAGCAATCGAATATCGCGACGAAAAATGGGATTAAAAGCAAAACTCACCCGTTATCGCAAAACAATAAGGACCCGGCGTCATGATGCACTTATTCTTCTTTGCGCGGCAGTGGATGCAAGAACCGGCGACGGGTGAATCTCCGTGCATTACGCGAATGCACGGAATCATCCCAAAGAGGCATTCGATACAACCCTGATTAGGAAATTCAGAAGTTAGCCGACGAAATGAAGTACGAGAACCGAAGACTTACCATCCCTCGCGTAAAACACATCCGCCTCGCGATCACGGCGGGAATAAGCTCGTCCTGCACGAAGCCCTCTATATAACCAGAAGACTCCGCATCCACGGACCATCCACGAACGCGGTGGCCAGTCCCGGCGTTGGGATCGAACGGCGAATTGTCCTTGTGCCAGGCGTCGGGGTCGTACTCGTTTTCGGAACCCATGTACATCGAGATATACGTCTGGGAGCGCGCCTCGCCAATCATCACGCCCTGGATCTTCATAACGCGAAGAATAGTCACCAACGTCTGGAGATCGTACTTGGAAAGATCTTCCTTGAAGCCGTTGGGACCAAGGACCTCGTCCAGAACCGACTTGGGAAGATCTGTCTCGGACAACGACTCGATGGCTGGGTGGAGTTCAAGAGGCGCACGCCCCCGCTTCGGGCGCCAGGAAGGACCGGACTCAGCGGTGGTACTCGTATCCTTGATATCGGCAAGGCGGGAGCGGCGAAGGTCGTCGGTGATAAGGAAAACGAGGTACGCGCCGGCAGTATGCAGCGCGGAGGAGAATTCGTCGAAAGTTTCCTGCCGTTTCCGGTTGTACGTCGAAATGGCCTCGATCTCGTACTGGTCCCGCGCCCGCGCCTTCTCGATACGAACAGAGGCCCTCGACGCCCATTCCGCATGCTTGGTGTCGTACACGTCGACGGCGAGGCGAACACGCTCGGCCTCCGACGCATTATGGGCAGTCACCAAGTTCCGCCACTCCGCTTTCTTGGCGCTGCGTTCAGCAAGCGTGTAGCAGGCCTTGTCCTCGAAAGGAGGGAAGGGTTTCGTATCTGTGCTGGGCTCAGGTGGCTCGGGATCGTCGGGGTCGTAAAAGAAAGGGTGGCTTGGGTCTTCCGGGAATGGAGGAGGTGGTTTTATTGCAGGAAGACGATACAAGATGCTCTGGTGCGCAATTTTGAACCCATTAAAACGAAGAAGGACCGCGGCGATGGATTTCCCCTTTAAAACGAAGAAGGACCGCGGCGATGGATTTCCCCTCCGGGAAAAGGCTGGAGCCTGGCTCCATCAAGAGGAAACCCTGGTGCGCGAAATCGGCGTCAGAGCACCCCGGGCGGCGAAGAAAGTCTGGATGGTCGTGCCGATGGACGCGCATGTACTCGCAGGCCGACTCAACCGTGTACTCCCGGATGTACGCGAATCGCGGCAGAACGGTGGACTCGTCGTAGGAAATAGGGAATCTAATGTCCGCCCAACCGAATTCCCCCTGGAAAGCGTAGGTGTTGAGGTCGACCCGGTGGTAATCCGGAGGGATCTCAACGGACTGGGAGGTGGACGCGACAGGGGATTCAGAACGATCGGCGGCAACCTGCGACAACGATTTCGGTTTGGCGGGCGGCTCGGGCGCCTTCAAGTTGACTTTGGGCTTTTTCTTGCGCTTCTCGGTTTTCCGCGTCTCGCGTGCCCCGGAGGCAGGGGCCTCGCCGACGTCCGCGACCTCCATGACGACGTCGTCATCGGCGGCGGCCTTGCGGCGAGTCTTTCCCATTCGATCTGGAACGGAACACGAAAGGGGTACGTCGTCGGAGGAGGCGGATGCTGCACGACGATTGGAGAAGGACTGTTCTGAGGAGGACGACTCCTGCGAATCCGAGCCAGATTCGGTGGCAGATTCCACAGAAGATGCGTTGTTTGCTAACCTACGGGGATCGGTCAACATCGGTGGAAGGGAAGGACACGGCGGCGACTTACGAAGACTTTCTGTTCACCACAATCTTACTCGACCGACCGCTTTTCCTGAGAGTAGCGGAGGGAGGCGAAGGAGGCGGACGACGTTCACGGCTGCTCCTACGAAGAGGTTTACCGTGTCCAGGGGCCATACAGCAAACGACCGAGATAGAGCCCCAGCGCGAAGGTGGCCAGAGCCAAGAAGTACACAAGGCAAGAAAGGAGGAATGTGGGCGCCAGAGTGATGAAGTGGCAGTAGGAAAGACGAAGGAATGGAGTCAGAAACGAGGCCAGGGACGAATTGAATGGGCGCACCTTAAATTGGTATGTTTTGATCGAAGACTGATGCGCAGCGAAATAAGGTTCGGGATGGTCCCACGGATGCCACGAGGCGGCGGGCGCGTTTAGACGCGTCGTTCAAGGGAAGGGAGGGAAAAGCGCGGAAAATATCGCGTTTTTATTGATCTAGGTGCTATAAGAAGGCCCCTGTCCGAGATCTGATCGGAAGATCACGTGACTACTACGCGCCACCTGGAACCGAAGATCATCTCCCAGAAAACAATTTCCGGGAACGGAGATCTGACCACATTGGGTCGATCTAGCCGAATGGAAACTCGGATGCGATAAAAACCATCACGGACGAAATTGGCAGGAGCCGTGAAACAGAAGAAAACGTTGCCAAAATATCACAGAGGCCGGTTATTCGAATCAGCAATCAGGAATCATATAGGAGGACCTCGCAGGAACAAATATCCGGGAAGTAGCCCGCAGTCGGAACGAACTATAGGAATTCTAGGAAGTTGACGCGACAACGAACGAAGTGAAACTGGAGTTCACGAAACATCGAAACGGATTAATTCCTCACGATGGCCAAACGGAATTGATCACTCCCAAGGCAAATTATGCAAATATGCGAAGTTTTAGATTGAAGAAAATCGAGCGCATGTGACCAAGACGCGCAGGAATGGACCTATCAGAAATACGAACAAACAAGCCGAAGCCCCTATCCAGCTTCTTCTCCCGACCCTTCCTCCTCGTCGCAGATATATTCCCACCCGATAGACCCGTCCAGACAGCTTCCAACTTGGGAAGACTGGTTCCCGTATAAAACGGCCGGGATTGGAACGCCGTACTCGTCATCGTAATACGAGTGGTCGGTCAACTCGCCGGAAACGTCGAAGGGATAAAAATCGCGGGCCGTATTGCCCCGCTCCTGGGATTCACGTGCGGAAAGGATGGCACAGTGAAGGGTTTTCTTGTCCAAGGGCGCAATAATGTGTTTGGAGGTTGGGAAGCCAAGGACATAACAAATCCTATAAAGGATTTCGAACGTGACAACACTCTCTCCAGGATAATCGAATTCGGCCGGAAACGGTATCGCCCAGTCATCCAGATACTGGATGATGTAGGCGGACTTGGCTAGGTCCAATAAACGCTATTTCCAAGGAAGGAATCAGAGTCTGGAAAGAAATTCCGGGAAGGTTCACTACGGGGAAACTCACG